TTTCATAAAGTATAAATAATGTTATTATTTTAATTATATATATAATATTAATATATATTAGATATTTATATATACTTATTCTTTTGTATCTCCAATTACGATTTTTTTAAAAAATATATTTATCTAGCAATAAAACTATCATCTATAAACATAATATTTTTTTCACCTTTATTATTATTATAGTGTACAATATTTGGATCCGTGACGCACATCTAGCTCGCTCTTATTAGTTACGGGTGATATGCTCATTTTTTGGATTAAATTAATTTGCCGAAAATAGAAAAATTTTAGGCATGCTTAAATATAATTTAGGCATTCTGAACACGTTTCAATGATCTGGATATTTTATCAAATTTCTTATCAGGTCATTTCCACAAAAAAAAAATTACAGAAAATTCGTCGCTAATTTTAATTGCACCTAAATATAATTCCGCAAAGGCACTTATTGGGCATGCAATTTCGCATTTAATAATAGACTATGCATCCCGATGTTATCTATATAATTTCAATTAAATTAAATACAGGCTACAAAGCCTATAGTAGTTTTATGTTGGAATAATTTGATATTAGATCAAAGGTTTTCCATTTTGAAATTAAAGCAGATACATAAGGCTAAGTTTTATTTAAAATGGATCGATATAGCATAATATCATCATACGATCCTTTTATTTTAGCCAAAATAAAGTTGCGTACAAAGAGAAAGAATGTTTTTGCAAGGAATGCCATAACTATTATATTAGCGGAAATGCATCGGTAATTTGATCGCAGAAATTTATTTTAATGTTGGTAATTAAACTCTACATTCATAGTAATGCATTTGCGAGTGCGTGTTTTGCTGAGGAAGTTTTACATAAAGCCTATAACATTTTTAGAAGGCTTATTTGCTTATGAATAATCGAAAATTATCTCTTAAAATTGAAACCTAAATTAGAATTCATTATGATAAGAACAAAATAACGAAAACTATGTATTTATTAAAATATTATTGTTACTCATAATGTTTAAAACAATTTCACTTTTATGTTTAAAATAAAATTCTGTCAAAACCAAAATGTTAGCTTATATTCCAACATCAACCTAATGATTGCTACTCTCATCACTGATTTATAACTTTATTTTCAATTTCAATAATTATTGTGTTATATAATATGTAACAAAAATTATAATATATGATGTGTGTGATTTGTTGTAAAACATTTCCATGTAATAACTTTAACATTTAAAAAAAAATCTAGCAAGTTAGACAATTTTTTAAGAAAGTTGTTACAAATATATGGAAATGTTTTCAACAAATCATATAGAAGGCGATAATTTGCCATTCAAATTCAAAACCAATTTATCAATAAATATTGACAATTAAATCGCTTTCAAAACATTTTTAAAAATTTATTTCATTGAATATTTAAAATACTTTATATTTTATTCAAAAACATTTTAAAATTTATCGATCATTTGTAAGCATAATACATCTGGTTGATATTTGAATTATTAAATTCTTAAATGTCAAATTGTAAATATTATTAGTTAATATGATCTTTTTTATAATTTGTTTTGCGAATAATAAGTGGTTAACTTTAAAAAAAATTCAACTCTATAAAACTAATTCAATGTTTGACAAATTATAAAATTTATTAATGAAAAGAAAATGACATATTACTATTATAATATTTATGTATCTATAATTAAATCTGATGTGTAAATTGTATTTGAAATTATTAATAAAAAATTTATCCTTAAATTTTTATTCTTTCGTATCAAGGTTATTATATATATAGATAATGTATATAGATCGGCGAGGCTCAAACCGGCGAGTGTAATTTTTGAAATGGTTTTTCAGCCCAGTCTGTAATTTCTTTTGCCAGGCCCGTGAAATAATTTTGTTTCAACCAGTGATAATATTTTATGAAAGAAAAAAACATGCCTAATTTAAACTTTAAATTTGCCAACTTTCGGCCCGACTTTTAAAGGTATTTTGCACAAGTTGTCTCTGTCCCAAAATCTTTTGGCTCACGAGCCTTGCCGCGCCACCTCTATATATAATATAGATAATTTTAAAATTTTGTATTCAGGGTAGATTCAGAATTCGGCAAAAAGTTAAATAATTCTGTTTCCTCTTTAGAAAAATTATTAACTTTCATGATATCCCTAGAATAGTTATAATTATTCCGCTTTCCTTGAAAAATAAAAATGTAAACATTAATTAAAATCAGAGATCTGCAAGCCTTGCTCTAAGCCCCTCCTCCCAGACCGGGTCGGGCCGTATATTTTGAAACAAAATCTTTTAAATCGCCATTATTAGCTATAAAAATTAAAAATAAATATAATATATTTTAAAAAAATTCGGGGCCTGCAAATGGTACCTCTGCAGGTCTCTGATAAAAATAAAGCATATACCCTAAAATTTTTAATATCTTCTTTTATTTTAGAATTCAGATCTTGTATTATTTTAAGTCAGATCGGAAATATTTCTAAATAATTAGTTCGATAATTTTTTAAAAAAAGACAAAAATGTTTGAATTATTCTCAAATAGGTTTGATAGATCTCTAATAGGTTATTCTATTAGAATTTTTTTTTACAAAATATAAATCCAATTGAATAATTGATTAGCGCAAGGCCATTTCTAGAGAATGTGTTTCTAAAACAGGGATTTAACAATGGACATTTTTTGGACTCAAATGGGAAAGGGACATTAACTAAAAAAAGAGACGGTTTGCGAGACTAAATTTACCTCATGTATGCATAACGAGCAGAAATCTATTTGATCATATCTTGCTTTTAATACTAAGCAAAATGGAATCTTTGGCTTCTTTCATAATATATGTTTCACCTGCTATTATGATAGCTTTAAAAAAAAATTAAATTTAAAGATATCCCTTTGTTCTTCAGAGTGTAAATATATGCATATCTTTTTAAAATAAATAAATATATATTTTTTTATTACATTTATTATAATTATAACAATCCATTCTTTATTTTTTAAAAAAATTGAACTTTACAAAAATTATTCTCGTGTTATATATTTCATATTTATCGGTGTTTTTTGAACACATTTGTATTGTGTGTTTAAGAAAGTTCTCTTGGAAAAAAGTTTAGATTTAATTAAACCGATAGGATAGTAATAGGCCTAACATTTTTTCAATTAATCAAAAATATCGTCAAGCCAGATGTTCAGGGATAATATTTAAGAATCACATCGCAAAGATTTTGGGACTGAATTTATGTAGCAACCTTTTTTTCCTCAGCATAAGGACTCATCCTTAATTGCAGTAAAGGGTTTAGTTAAAAAAATTTATATTTTTTCTATTTATTGGTTAGACCCATAATATTCGTTTGTGTGGCTTAGGACTAGAACTTAGTCTCGATGATCAGATAAAAGTTTTACTTTTAAAAATACTATTTGATACTAATGAAATTATTACATATAGATATAAAGAATTTATTTCGATAATAATTGAATATGGGCTTATTAAATAGTAAAGGCAGCCCTGTATAGTAACTTTTTACATTACATTATTTATGATTCGAATACGATCCAATCCAGAAATTATTTTTTAAAATATGTAAAGGAATATAATAATATGGCCCAACTCACCGACTCCAAAGAAAATAAGAAAATGTTTTTTGAGCACTTATTAGACTTATTAAACAAGTCTATGAGTGGCTATATTTGATAGTATACATTTGCCACGAAATGGAACATGTCGAACTAAAAAATGTCAAAGAGTTCAGGGTAACCTTTCCACCATTCTTTCTATGTCACTTGGAATCCAGCCTGGTTAGTCGAGAATCATAATATTGACCTGTCATGGTACGGAAAGGATATCATTGTTATTAAATGATAATTGCTTGGTCGTTTCTCATAAACTTCCCAGTCACTTAATCAGTTTTCACTTTTGTTAGCTATCCAGGTTATCTGCTGTATGAAATGAGCCAAGTCGCCGAGATTTCGAATAGGAAGCAACCTAGATATTGGGTACTATGGTAGGAATTTATAATATTTTTTTTATGAAAATTATACTTTTACGGCTAAATCTCTTTAAGTGTATGTGTGGAATTTTTAATTCTGATATGACTAGTGCTTTCGTAATGACTCGGTTTCAGTGATACTAATGGGATTATCACGCGCCTGCATATATATCATTCGCCCAATTATTTTATTTGAAGACATCGCCACCTTTTAATATAGATCTTAATTGCGATAATTGAATATTATAGATAAACATGCATTTTAATTATCTTTCTAGTAAAGTTAATATCGAATTCGGAATATTAAGATAAAAGATAAGGTTTTCCAATTTCTTAAATAACTTTCCAAGTAGGTTTAGTTGAATTTTACATTCTAGATTCTGTATTACTTCTGTATTTTAATCAATAGCCAACTCAATCCCTACAAGGTTCATTTGACTTTAAGATTTGTGGTTTTTTATATTTACGGGGAACGCCTTTTTTATCATCTTAAATTTAATAGTTTTATTTTCTCTATATTTATTATACTCACTCAGTTCACTTAAAATAATGGTTTAAGGATATTATTTTTAGAAATTGAAACTTAATTTAAAAAAAAAAATAAGAATGTGGATTATAAAATTAAATAAGATTTTTTTAACAAATAATAACTTAATAAAAATTTAATTTAAAATAATTATATAATTTAAAAGGAAAATTGATGCCTATTGTTTATAGCAACGGATGATTTATAATTTAAAATAATTAATTGGCTAAGATCCTTTAATGTTCAAAGATTCTCGGGATCATATCTAATAAAGGGGTCCTTGTCTAAGAAAAGGAAGGGGAAAGCGAAGGACGATTTAACGATAGAGTATTTATTACTATTGTTAGTAGAATCATATTTGATGAAGATAGGAAACAAGGTCTAAGAATAGGAACAGATATGAATATACCTTTAATACAAAATATATTTGCATGAAAACCACAAACAAAGTTATATATTCATATAAAAATAACATTACACAATCTCTAATTTAAAAAATAATAAAAGGAATGCTACACCTGCAAAAGAGAGATCGAATATTCGGATGTGGCGGTTTACTCTCCTAAGCTGTTAAAATCAAAAAGTTCCAAAAACGAGCTAAAAAATGGCGAAGAAAACTCAAACTTAAACAAGAATGAGGACAAAGAAGGAAATAAAGTGCTTAGTGATTACTGTTGGCATCCGGCTTGTTTTGTGTGCCAGGTTTGTCAGGAGTTGCTGGTCGATTTAAATCATTGCGTCAAAGATGGATATCTATATTGTGAGAGACATTTCGCCGAAACTTTTAAGTCCAGATGCTCTAATTGTGACGAGGTTTGTTAAATTATCCTTTATAATATATTATAATTATTTAACCGTTAAGAGATTAATATCATAATTAGGTATTCATTAATCACATAATATGATCTTAAAATTGTAAAATATAATTTTATATTATATCTTCAATTGCCAATCATATTTTAGAAGTATAAAATGATATTTTACATTTTACTATTATATTCCAATGAATATAGAGGGCAGGAAAGAAATAGTTATAAAATAATCAAAATCTATAAATATTAATTTTAAGTTAGTATTTCTTTCATGATTATTTTAAAGCTTTTGAACAGATTGAGAAATTTCATTCTTAATTTTTATTAAATGATAATTGGACTAATCTCAATTATTTAAAATGTAATGGAAATTAAGTAATATATTTAATCGCTACCGGCCACAGCCTTAAGCCTTAACGCAACATTTATACTCATGTTCAAAGTTACCCCGTAGAATATTTTTATTGAAATTTTAGCCCGGCTCTTAATATTTTTTATTTGCCTAATTATCAGCTTTATAACCATTTCTAAAACTCCTGCCTACCCGGTAAATATCGTAAATCTGGCCAGGCTGGGTTATGCCGACCTTTACAGGACATATGTATTTGCTTTAATATACACTTTACTATTTTCTAAATTTTGTTGACAAATTGGTTATTTTTACGAAAATTAATTTAATTTTGGAAAAAGTTATTATATGTTTGAAAAAAAAATACACGTGTATGATTAAAAAAATTACATATTAAAATGTTATCTTAAACTATAAAATATAATTTTTTCACAATATAATGAAATGAAAACATTAAATTTAAAATAAAACCAATCCTTAATGCTCATAATATAACTAATATCAAATACTATTCTATATGGATATAATATATAGTGAGACTTTAGTAGTACATAAAGTGACCACTAAATATAATTTTGAACATTTTGATAAACAATTTTATTGGGGTGTGATAGTCCAGATAAGGAGGTCGATTCTACACCATATAGAAATGATGTTTGACTGTATATAACTACTCAAATATTTTATAATTATAAACAATAAATAGAAAGAAAAAAATATCACAAATATGTTTAATACTATATAAGATATTTTTTAATATACATTTTTATCTTTTATTGAAAAATAATAAATTACAATTAATAATTGGTTAAAAAAGAAAGAAATGCCAAATATTTTTTACTCTACTATGTGATATATGTAGCGATATTAAAATTTATTGGTTCTTTTTTTTTTCTATACAGTTAATAATAGTATATAAGGTTAGAAAAAACAAAATAAATAACTCATTTATTAAAAAAAGTGACAAAATTAGGCAGACCAATTTTTATAATTGAAATTTGAAAATATTTTACTTATAAATATTGTCTTTATTTTTTTCAGAGATCCGGACCGAATAATAGTTAAGGTTCAGATAAAAATAACGGTTCAGGTTTTGTGAAAAATGAAAAAATCGGTTCGGTTTGAACTTCTAAAAACCGGTTTGATAACTTTGTATACAAACTTACATTTGAATTATATATTTTATTTGTTGCGATATTTTGTAAATTTTATTGAGTTCTAGAGGGCGGTTTCTTTTTATGTGTCGCTCAAGATTGACACTTCATAGTTATGTCACAATCAGTAATATGACATTTTGATGTGTCATTTATAATTATATATGAAAATAATTTATAAATTGGATTCAATTTGTAAAATTTACCAAGAATTTGCGCGGGGTTATTATAAGCTGAAAAATATTTAAAATGGCAATATACCAATGTTTATGAAATTGAGACTAACACTTATCAATCAAAATTAATTGATAATTATTTTTAAAACAATTGGATAAAAATTAAGATTTAGCAATATACTAGTAATAACTTTCATATTATTTTGTAAGCACTTCCAACCTTACAAAACTCCTTTATGATTGTATTAATGTAAAATTAAGAGTGTATAATATTTCAAAATACTATTATTTTGCCATTTGAATTCTTATGATAATCCAGAAAATATTTATATATTCTCTCTGTTTATATATCACCTTCTCATTAGGTATATTTTGTTTTACAAATTTAATAAACTTGAATTTTATTGTCTATAGCAGTTTATTACATATATTTTAATACAATTTTATTTTTTGTTTTTATTATATTAAAGATATTCAATCTTATTTATAGTATTAAATTTATTTAATACAATTAAAACAAACCAGAGATGTTAAATAGAAAAATATTATGTCTGTATCTTATCTAGACACATTTTAATTAAAAATATCTGTATCCAGATACATTTTTAACTATATACATATCTATATATAGATACATTTGTATACAATTTTACTGTATGTTTTTAATTATATTAAAAATATTTACATTTAATTATTTTTTGTATTAAATTTATTAAATATCGGTCTGAGTTTATTTCTTTCCTACGAATTTATTTTACATTAGATGCCGAAAGTATGTGATAAAGTCTTGAAATTATTGATTATCATTCAACTTACAAAAGGAACATAATTGATAACTTGTAAACTGTGTTCCATTGTCGGTTATAAATTTTTTTAATTACCAAACTTTGTGAAATTATCTCTTCTTAAGGCATTACAGTAATTGGTACATTGGTTATTAAGTCTACCTTTACCCATCTCTAATAAACATATATTACCACTAACTAGTAATCACTTTGTTTTACAATACAACATGTAATATTCCACTTTCTTCGCCAATGTTATATAAATATTTTTTTTGTTAAAGATACCTTATTTAATAAAAATTTAATTTTAAACAGACAAAATATCAGAGTCACTATTTTTTAGTTGGGTTTTAAGGAAGGGGCCATAATTATATATGAAGGTTTCTATCTGTATTTTTTGTTGAAGATAAAAAATTATCTCGGGTTGAAAATGTCTTGATTTTATTACTTCGAAATATTTATAGTTTATGGAGAAAATATCCGTTATAACGATTAGGGCGAGCATGTAGTTAGTTACAGGGTCAAAAATTTGAGCAAAATATCTTTGAAGAACAAAAAAATTGAAGATCTTTTCGTAAAAAAAACTTCACATTTTTTGATCTTTAAAAGAGCAAGGATCATATTTTTGAATTTTGAGCAAATGTTAAACCCTGGTTTTAAGTATTCTTTTATCTTCTGTATTTATGCTGTTAATAAAGGATTCCATTTTATATTTTTATATCTGAAGTACGAAGATACAAGTCAAATAAGGATTTAGCCTGACCTCTAAAGGATTTCAGGCAATCAATCATGTCTCAGACTATTTTATGATATACTGAAAGGTTCTAGAATGCTTGGGATGTGCTCTCCTTTTAGACTCCGACTTATTATTAAATTTATTGAGATATGACGTTGGCATGGTCTTTGATTAATGAACCATTAAGTCCATGCTCTCCTAGAAGATGACAAAAGTGTTGCATTTTGGAATTAAGTGATTAGACTATGTCACATCCTAGTGATAAACCTATATCTACACTCAATTGTTCTCTGATAAGAGATTTCCAAGATTGCGAATGAAGGGTCTCTAACCATTCGTGTCCTCCTAGTCTGTTGTCAGATGGAAGAGTTATATCGAATTGAAGGATCTGGAGTTAAATAGTATATCGGCATAAAAGTTTCCTATTAAGGGTTTAAAAATGTTTTTATGGTTGATAATTATTAAAAATGCTTACAGGGATTCTTTATTTCAGTGTATTGATTGCACAATCTAAGAAATGATCGGTTGGATATATGAAGCCAGATATCATGGGTTATTCATCAAACTGGAGGCAATGAAAGATGATTTGTATATGAAATAAAGAAAAAGATCTAGCCTACCAGATTTTGCAGGCAATTGAAGAGCCCAGTTAAAATCGGTTAATATCATATTTAAAATCTTTTCAAAAAAATATTTTAGTTTTATTTGCAATTTATCAGTAAAAGTAGTTTTTTTAAAAAAATGAGGACTTAAAAATATGATAAATTGGGTATAAATACAGTGGTGTTGCCAAGATTTATTCAAGGGAAGGGGGGATGAGCTATAAAAATTAGACCGGGCCACGTCTATGAAAAATTGTGATTATATATTATTGATTTTCTTGTGGTTATTTTTATTTTGCTTTTTAAAATATACAATATCTTTATATTATTTCCGATCAAGTTGACTGAACAATTGGAAGCACTCATTCTAAAATCTATGCCAATGTTTCGTGCTTTACTAGTGCCTATGAGTGCTTTAACCAGTATAGTAGACTGTATAAAGGAAAGAATTTTAGTAACCAAATTTTGGACATCCTTACAATTAAAAAGAGATGGAACGTATTTATTATGAATATTTAATCAATTTTTAGTGCTTTGTTTTTTTAAATTCGTTTGGTAGACAGTATTATAACGAATAAAAGATATTAGCAAAATTTAAAAAAATTGCCAAAAAGGGAATGATGTTAAAATAGAAAATGTAGTAGACTAAATATCTGGCTTGACTTAATATTTAGTTCCTGACAACAACTATAAATACATCAATCAATTTTGAGAATCACAAATAAGAAACTGAGCTAAGCTTTAAACAAAATGAAATCTAAAGTATGAAACGCTTTAAGCGTGAAATGAGCCAAGTTTTTGGAAACACTATTTCTGAAACTTATCCAAACCATAAATAGTATCATATTAATACATTTAATTGCCTCATTTTGTTTGTAGATGGGTTAATGGGGAAATAAATTATTGGTTAAATTCTTAAATAAGGGAAAAGATTGTCAAAATTAGCATCATGCTAGAGCGGAGAATATAGATGTTTTAAATATCTTGTTTTCTGGATGAACCAATAAGTAATGCCTTATTAGTACTTACTAATTCATCAATCATTTTTTCCAGTGAATAAACAAAAACCAGTTATAAGTGAAATAAAAATATCGGCACGCCTTAGTCACATAAATATCGGATTTTAAATTGCGATTTAAAAATAAATTACGCCTAAATATCCTTAGGGTTTCCTATTTCCCGATTTAAACTATTTTGAA